CCCTATCGATAACAAACATGTCTTCTCTCATCATGTCAATATGACCGAAAAACCTGTAGACTTTCGAGAGAGAACAAAACAGCAGATCATAAGCGTGGGTGTTGCGCCGGTCTAAGAGTGGCAATTTGAATAACGACCTCGTCACCTACTTATGTGGAACAATCACTACCACTATTGGTTTAAAAAAGAGTCTATATATATACGTTTGTGTGTATATATATACACATATATAAATATATACATATATATGTGTGTATATATATGAATATATATATCTAATACAGATAAATATATGTGGATATATGTATATATAAATGAAAAAAAGAAAAAAAGAAAAAAGAAAGAAAAAGAAAAAAAGAAAAGAAAAGAAAAAGAAAGAACGGAAGAAAGAAAGAAAAAATATATATATACATGTACAGTTGCGGAATTATATTTCAGTACACTTACTGGGTCCCACTTTTGTACCTCTGCCAACCAGTCGAAGTAAACATAGCGTAAATAGTAATTTTGTGAATGATACTAAAACCCTTGGTAGTTTGTAACAATGAGTGTGATTGGTCGAAAATAAGTAACCAATAAGTGTATTAATGAATATTTTTTGAAACTCAGTAAGCCATTTGATATTTCGCTTTCTTCAAATAAGTGATAAAGAACAAAGCATGTAATATTAGTTATCGTTGACTTTGTAGTTGGATATTCTTCAAATGCGATATCCTGGCATTGTTTGCTTATCCAAATGGCAACATCTATGATGGGGAGGCGGCATTTACTGCTCCTTACAACATAAGAAGTATCATTTATAGATATATATTTCTTAAAACATGAAAAAGTTTCATGCTTTGAACATTTATGTATGGTAACTAAATTACCTAAAATCCCTGAGACCTCTGTTAATAGTAGCAGCTAATCGACCTAATTATTATTATTATTATTATTATTTTTTGTCTTTATGCCTGATTCAAACACATATTGAATAAACAGAAACCGTGCTAAATCAGATTTTTCAATACAAAGAATGAACAAAATCACAATTAGGTTACATTGAATATGTAGATTCGTTATCGATGTGTGTGTGTGTGTATCGTCTATGGAAATATGAAGTCATGCTTGGTAATGAGTTACGAAAGAGTAAATAATCAGCTATTATTATGCATTGAATCTTGACGTTTCTTTGAGGAATTGCATCCACATTCGATGGGACCATTGGGACCAACTTTGATTTTTGATAATGGGATGAGGGAAAGTAACTTCTCCAACGGTGATATATTCGGAGAGCTGGGCACCCATAACGAGGAAAATACACCGGGAATACACGGAAAGCTCCATTGCTGAGGGGAATTAAAGGTGTAAATGTTCACCCTTTTCAATATTTCAGAAATCAATTTATTTCAATTTACTATATAGATACTTGTTTATACAGAACAGTGCCTTGCACGTCATATTGCATGTTCAGATTCTATATCATTATTTACATTTCACATATGACAGACAAATTATCTATAAAACGGCGATGCGCGGCCGTGTGACCTGCGATATGTGGGGGTGGATCTCCCTACATGATGTTGGCGAAACGGGGAAAATGCCTCTTAGACAAATATATCGAATTGTTAGAAAAAAATCCTTCCATCAGTACACTGTTATGCCTTGGCCTTTCCTAGAAACAATGAGGATAACTGCCCAATACACACGGCCAGGGCAGTTACGAAGTAGTTCCCTGCCTAACACCACGTGGAAGTCCTTCGATGGCCAAGCGAGGGATGTCGCTCAAACCCGACGAAAAATGTTTGGCCGAATATTGTCAATGTTTGAGAAACGGCTAATGAAACAACCTCGAACCAGCTAATAGAAATCGAATCGTTACATGTGAACACGTCACCTCTGTCTCAGGGATTAGACACCGTTTGAATAACAATACATAATTCCTATTGTAAGCATTACTATTTGTCTTCCCTTTCTACAGTCATTACCATTTTTGGTAAAAGTATCTCCAAAATTAATAAACATCCCCAAGTAGTCGATTCATTGAAGCCCCCATCATCTATGAAAAAATAAAAATGAATAATTTATATATGTGTGTGTGTCTTAGTTATCAACTACATGGCAGGGCGTTTTGTGTGAGAAGGGGTTCAAAATGTATATGAATATAAAAGATTCTAACTAAAGCGTTAAAAACTTGTTGAGGCCTGGTTAACCCGACCATGGTTTTGCGTTGTTGATATTCTAGAATAATTATAATTGTCTATTTATTGAATACGTGCCTAGATCTGATCTATCAGTTCACAATGAAAATTACATATAAAAACTTTAATTTTATTTAGTGATAAAAAACAAGAATGTCATTTTTTTCTACACACTGTAAACAAGCGTGTATCGATAAAAAACTGCATAAACAACAAATAAAAGTAAAGAGCAAGATTAACTGACATTAATCCAAACGATTTTTTTTCTTCTTCAAAATAACAGAAATCCAATTGCCAACAGTTGTTCCTTGGGGTATATAAAGGTGACGAGTGTGTGTATGTTTTTTTTTTTTTTTTTTTGGTGGTCAAATTTGGGGTGTTTTGTACTGTGTTTGTGTGTTTAGTGTACGGGTACTGAATGTGTATATTTTTATGCATGTATTTATTCACAAGCGTTTGTATTTCTAGGTTTGTTTGTGTTTAGGAAGCTTAGTTTTAAGACTAAGAGGAGGACGAAGACTGGTGTGACCGTCTTATTGTGCAAAAGAAAATTTTATAATATGTGGAAATTGAATTGCAAATGATGATTTTGATTGTCTTTGTTTTCAATATTTTAAATTATCTTTATGCTTAGACACTACCACACACACACACCACACACACACACACACACACACACACACACAACACACACACACACACACACACACACACACACACACACACACACACACACACACACCACACACACACACACACACACACATGCAGACACACACACACACACATGTATGTACAGACATACATGTCCTTATATGTAGTATGTTCACAATAACTCACAATTCTCCGGTCAGGCATCTACTTGATAAGAATAACACATTCCTGTACTATATTTTCTTACTTCACTGTTGCATAACGGAAAGCACTCAACGGCACTGTGCTTGCTGGCTCTGGCCTCTGGTGCCCTGGGCGTCCTCCCCGGCCCATCGCGTCACCCTGGGTTGGCAGTAAGCTTTTTGTCTGTATTAAATAGCCATACGGTCAGATTGTTCAAATTGTGCGAGGCCTGACCCAGCCGACATTCATATAACCGGACATGCATATACACAGAAATGCATATCTGTTTCTCTGTCTGGTAGATATACATTTATTTGATCTAACTGGCAGATGTACATTTATCTTATGTATCTGGTAGATGTACATCTGGTAGATGTACATTTATCTTATGTATCTGGTAGATGTATGTATCTGGTAGATGATCTTATCTATTTGGTAGATGTACATTTATCTTATGTATCTGGTAGATGTACATTTATCTTATGTATCTGGTAGATGTACATTTATCTTATGTATCTGGTAGATGTACATTTATCTTATCTATCTGGTAGATGTACATTTATCTTATGTATCTGGTAGATGATCTGGTAGAGTGGTAGATGTACAATGTATCTGGTAGATACCTTATCTGGTAGATGTATCTATGTATCTGGTAGATGTACATTTATCTTATCTATCTGGTAGATGTACATTTATCTTATGTATCTGGTAGATGTACATTTATCTTATCTATCTGGTAGATGTACATTTATCATCTACTCTATCTTATCTTATCTATCTGGTAGATGTACTATCTATGTATCTGGTAGATGTACATTTATCTTATGTATCTGGTAGATGTACATTTATCTTATCTATCTGGTAGATGTATCTGGTAGATGTACATTTATCTTATGTATCTGGTAGATGTACATTTATCTTATGTATCTGGTAGATGTACATTTATCTTATGTATCTGGTAGATGTACATTTATCTTATCTATCTGGTATGTACTATCTGGTAGATGTACATTTATCTTATCTATCTGGTAGATGTACATTTATCTTATGTATCTGGTATGTACTTATCTATCTGGTAGATGTACATTTATCTTATGTATCTGGTAGATGTACATTTATCTTATGTATCTGGTAGATGTACATTTATCTTATCTATCTGGTAGATGTGTATCTGGTAGATGTACATTTATCTTATGTATCTGGTAGATGTACATTTATCTTATGTATCTGGTAGATGTACATTTATCTTATGTATCTGGTAGATGTACATTTATCTTATGTATCTGGTAGATGTACATTTATCTTATCTATCTGGTAGATATGAATGTTTAGACGAATAGATAGATATTCATTTCTGTGTATATGCAAGAAAATATCGTGAATATTCCCTGGGTCGGACATCGCACAATCTAGCAAATCGGCCGATGGTATATAAGAGCTTGTCTGTGAATCCTGAGTCTGGATGTATATTTGCATTATACTTGGCTGAACGTATGGGTAAGAAAGTGACTCCAGTTCGTATGTCAATATGTTCTTCATTATCAATATCTTTATCATGTTGTAATTTTGAAACGCTCACTTTCGATTGATATTTGAAATGAATTTAATGTTTGATTAAAAGTTCTAAAAATAATTTTTTGTCATTATCATTACTATCGTCCTCTTCATCTTCTCGTCATTGCCATTATTACCTGTCATTACATTATTTCAGTGTCATCTCTCATCACTTTTTATTTACCATTAACCTTCATCAATCTCACCAGTCATCTTTCATTCTATTAATACTATCTTTATATATACTCTTATCTTTATCATGATTACCTTTCATCAGTCTTATCATTGCCATCATTATCTTTCATCACTTTATCAGTCCCAATATTATTTGTTACCACACCATTATCATCCTTTTTCTTTATCATTCTTATCATTACCATATTTATCCATCTTCACCATCTCCTCCCACCCCCCCCCCCCCCAGCCTCGATGTGCTCCCCCACCGACTCCCTGATGGTGTGCCAGCTGAAGAAGGGCCAGTGCTCCCCCGTGGGCGCCGTGTTCTCCCCCCCCGGCGGCCCCGTCAAGGCCGTTAGTTGAGACTAATGGTGTTCGGGGGTATAGTTGAGTATAGTTGGTAGAGTGTTAGTGTAGAAGGTTTTTGTATTGTGCGTGTGTGTGATTTTATGTGTGTTTATTTATCTGTAAGGGTTTAAATATTTTTAATATATACTCGGTTCTTTCTTTAACGAATATATTTTCCTTCGATTTACAACTTAGCACTTATCATCGCCATTTGTTCCAATTCATCGCCGCTGAACAGGTCTCGCCTTTGTCAGCGGAAGCCCGAGAGCCAGCCTGGCATGGTTTCCGCCGACGCCGCCTCGCGCGCGGCCATCCGCCGCTTCTCTCAACGCCACTGGCCTGCTGAGTGTTGTTATGTTGTTCAATGACAGATTACCAAAAAAAGCTATTCACCACCATTACGTCTGTAATGATTGTCGAACTACAAAAGGTTACTCTCTCAGCTCGGCAACGACACAGCACTGAACCGCACCGCCGTCGCCGCCTCCATCTCCACCGCCCTCAGCACCCCCGCCGTGGCCGCCGCCGTCGCCGCCGCCGTCGTTTCCTGTCCCGAACCTGTTGATTACAAGATAAGCGACTTCATCGCCTGCCTGAAGACGGCCTGCATGGACAACGTGGTCGTCTCTTCCTTCGTGAGGACCCTTCCCTTCACCGGTGTTCCTGGGCCGTGGCTCCGGCTCCGACGCTCTAGACGTAGGCCCTGTCATTCCCTTCCCTGGCCCAGGATGTGAAGGCGGAATGGGGTGTTGGGAATCTCAAATTCTAGTCTGTAATAGGCATCGGTATCGTATTGCATCTTGATATGAAACAGCCACTGTAAGAAAGGAAAAATGAATCTTGTTTCGAATCCAACATATATTCCTCATCAGATGATAAAACCTTGTTTTATCATCAATAATGTCATTATCATTATCATTATTGTTATTATCAATGTTATTATAATTTTCATTATTAATGTAATTGTTGTTATTATTGTCCTCACTATTTTGTAATTATTGTTATCAATATTTTTGTTATGATCATTATTATTATTACTATTTTTATCATTATTATTATTACTATTCTTTTTATCATTATTATCATTATCTTCATTATCATTACCATTATTATTATTATCTTTATTGTTATTATTATCAATATTGTTTTTTTATAATTATTTTATTATTACTGTCTTTATTATATCTTTATGCTAAACTGACGTGATACCAAATCAGAAATTAACAAAGAATCCCCACCAATTCGGCACGAAAGTAGATAGCCCAACCTCCTCAGCATAAAGAGAGGAAGCAAGATCCTCAAAAGTCCCTTTTCCCCGAAGCCTTCTGGGCCACCGTGGCTCAGAGGAACCGCCTCCGACCCGGAAGCCAGCGGCCGTGAGTTCGAGTCACGTGGCGCTGTTGGGAGGTTTTTCTTTATTCACATTCTTTTGATTTTGTATCATGTAATTTTAATAATAATAGAATAAATTATAATCATAATAGTAAGAATTATGCTAATTAAAACAATAAGATTAACAATAATAATGATAATGAAAATTTTCATAATAATGGTAATAGTAATAATAATAATAATGAAAAATTTAATTATAATGGTAATAGTAATAATAATGATAATGATGGCAATAATGATAATAACAATAGTAAAGATAATGAGAACAATAATAAAACGAAAATGATAATAATAATGATGGTGATAATAATGATTATCAGAATAATGATGATAATGATAGTAATAGTAATAATGATAACAATGGTAATGATAACAACAACAACAGTATTAATAATTATGATGTTTACAATGATAATGATAATAGTAATCATAATGATAATGATAACAATGACAACAATAATAATAATCATAATGATAATAATAATGATAATAATAATAATAACAATGATAATAAAATAATAATAATAATAATAATAGTAATAATAATAATAAAAGTAATGATAATAGAAATGATAATGATAGCAATAATAGCGACAAAAAATATGATAATGATAATAATAATAGTTAAAATAACAAATAATGATAACAAAAATGATAATGAAATGATAATGATGATAATAACAATGATTATAGTAATGCTAATAATAATAATAAAAATAATAATAATAATAATAACGACAGTAACAAGGATAATTATGATAATCGCAGTGATAATAATCATAATGATGATAACAATACTAATATTAAAGATAATTGTGATGATGATAACAATGATTACAATAATGATCAGAGTAACAATGATAATAATGATACTGGTAATGATAATAATGATAATAATAGTAACAATAATAATAATAATGAAAACAACATAAGCAGCAATGCAATTGATGATAATGATAGTATAGTAACAATGATAACTAATATGATAATAGTAATACTAATGATAATGATAATAATGATGATAATGATAATAATAATGATGATAGTAGAGATGATGATGATACCAATAACAATTAAAACGAAGCGCAGAATAACATGACAAAGAAAAGTAGTAAGATTTGTAGAAAGTGTAAGAGGAACTATGGAAACAGAATGATATATTTTTGATGCCCACAGAAAGCACGAGACACGCATTGCCAACTGCCTTTGCGTTCACTCGGCGCACAAGTTCCTGTTGACGTTGTTGTTTCCGTTTAATTCTGGAAAAGGGAAATACTTGGAAAATGTGAATTTCGTTTATGAAACACCGGTTTTTTATCATTGACTCGCGTTCGGGACTGTGAAAAATCTCTTCTTTTATCGTGTGTTTGCGTTTCCTTTTTCGAAAATGCGTTTTCTGGTTTGTTGCGACCTAAACACTGTGCAATTTAGCAGAGAGGGAGGATGAGGAGGGGGGGGAGCGAAAGAAAGTGAGGGGAAGATCAGGATCGACCCATTATATTCGAATCTCAGCCGCCAACAACATCGACAGGGTTTCCCCCCCTCGACCTCTTTAATCGCTTTACAGGTCAAATAAAACATCAAAAGCAATCCTCTCAGATGCAATAGATATTGATAAACAAATTCCCCCAATTCGCCACGAGAGAGGATAATCCAACATCTAAACCATAAAGAAAGGAAATCCGACATTGAAATCCTCCTTTTTCCCCAAAGATTTCTAAGCCACCGTGGCTCAGAGGAACCGCCTCCGACCCGGAAGCCAACGGCCGTGAGTTCGAGTCACGATGCCAAGCGTGACAATGTCACGCGCAGGCGCCGTTGGCATTTTTCATTTTCGATTTTCTATTTTTTATCACATATTCTTAAACGATGAAAATAATCAAAATCATAGCAGTAGCAATAATGATATAATAATATTACAAGAATGATATCAATGATAAGAACAATGATAATGATATTGAAAATAATGATTTTTATACTACGAAAAATGGCAGTGAAAATAAAAAGATGATAATGATGATCATAATGACGATAATAATTATAGTGATAATAAAGATAATGATAATGATAGTTATGACGACTACATTAATGATACGATAATAACGATAATGGTAATGACAATGATAATCATAATGATAGTAATAATAGTAATAAAGATTTTGAAAATGATAATGATAAGGATACTGATGATGATAATAACACAATCCCCACCCTCACCAATAATAATGATAGTAATGATGATAATAACGATAATGATGACGATGATAACAATAGTGGTGATAATGATAATAATAATGATAATGAAAATAATAACAGTAATAATAATCTTAATTATGATAATAGCAATAACAGCAATAACAATATCAATAATAATAATAGTAATAATAAAAATAACGATAACAATAATAAGGTCAATAAAAATGATAACAACAACAATAATGATGATAGTGATAATAAAGATGGGGATGCTGATGCTGATGATAATGATAATAACGATGATAATAAAAGCAATAATAATAATGATGACAATGATAATAGTAATAATAATATCAAGGATAATAATGGTAATAATTACAACAATGATAATAGTGATTGTAATAATGATAGTTATAACAGTAATGGTAATAATAAAATAATAAAGATGATGATGATAACAATAATAATGATAATGATAACGATTGTAGTAATGATGATAATGATGATTATAATGATGACGTTGATAGTGGTAGTAGTAATTAAGATTAATAATAGTGATAATAACGATGATAATGATAGTAATGATGATTATCATAATAATGATGGTCATGATATAATCGATAATGGCAATAATAATAATAATAACAATAATGATAATAATGATAATAACAGCAATAATAACAATAAAAACAATGATAATACTAATGATAATAATAATGATAGTTGATATGCATGATAGTAATAATAGTAGTTATGATAATAATGATAATTATAATTATGATAATGATACTGATAATGCATAAGATTATATTAGTGACAGAATTGATGATAACGATAGTAATAATAATGATGATAATGGTGATCATGACAATGATGATAATACTAATATGTAATAATAATAACAATTATGATAATGATGATGATAATGGTAGTAATAATAAAGATGATAGAGATAAAGATAATAATGATTTTGAAAATGCTGATAATGAAATAATAACGATTATGATAACAACAACCCTTATGACAATGATAATGCTATTGATAACAATAACAATAATGGTGATGATCATAATATTGATAATAATAACAGCGATAATATTAATTATAATGATGATCATGATGATGATAATAATAATAATAATAATAATAATAATAATAATAATAATAATAATAATAATAATAATGATAGTAATAATAATAATAATAATAATAATAATAATAATGATAATAATAATAATAATAATAATAATAAAAAATAACGATATCAATGATAATGATGATAATAATAATATTCATCATTACGATAATTAGAACAATAATGATAATGATAATAACAATGACAATAGTAGCAAAAACAACAATAATAACAATAATAACAATTACAAAATAATAACAATTATAATATAGTTGATGATAATGATGATAATATCGTTAATGAAGAGCACCCACTGTTCAATTTTTCCCTCCGTTCGGTTGTGCGAAAAGCCTTCTCCTCGCCAGCGGATGTTCCCACTTCTTTTCTAAAGACTTTTCCTGGTCTGTTGTCATCTGAACATTTTTAGGTGCCATGTTATTATGAGCTTCGTCTATTATTATCATTATTATTATCATCATCATCATTATTACTGTTATCATATTTGCTACTGTTGATATTTTTACAGTTATTATCAGCAATATCATTGCTATTGATATGGTTTTCATTATTATTTATTACTATCATTATCATTATCATTATTATTATTGTCACTGTTACTAATATTATCATTAACATTATTTTATCATCGTTATTATTATCATTATTATTATTACTATTATTATTATTATTATTATTATTATTGTTATTATCATTATTATTATTATTATTATTATTATTATTATCATTATTTTTTTCCTCATTATTATCATCAATACTAGCTGTATCATCATCAGTGTCATTATTACTACCATCATTATTATTATTATTATCATTATCATCATTACCAACACCGTCATTATTATCATTATTACTATTATCGATATTTTAATCATTATCATCATTATTATCATTAATACTAGTATTGTTATCATCATTATAATCAGTATTATCACTACCATTATCATGATTATTATTGTCACTGTTATTATCATTATTATTACTATGATCGTCACTATAATCATTGCTGTCATTATCATTCTTATTTGTATTATTATTACTATCACTCTTTCAATTATCATTACCATAATTGTTGTTACTTTCACTATTATCATCATTATCATTATCATTATTTCTTATCATTATCAATACCATTATTATTAGCATCATTATAATTATCATAACTGTTACCATTATCTTTTAAATCATAATCATAACCATTACCATTATGATTTTTGTTTCTGTCATTATCAAAATGATACAAAACTCACGGCCGTTGGCTTCCGGGTCGGAGGCGGTTCCTCTGCGCCACGGTGGCCTAGAAAGCTTTGGGGAAAAAGGAATATTTCAATATCGGACTTTGGATTATCTTCTCTCGTGGCGAATTGGGAGAATTTTTTTTTGATACCAATTGCATAAGAGAGGACTGCTTTTGATGTTTTGTTTTATCTGTAAACTGATTAAAGAGGTCGGCGTGAGTACTCCCTGTCGATGTTGTTGGCTTCGTATATAAAAGTTCTGTGATCTTCCCATTACTTTCTCTCGGTATTTCTCCTTCCCCCCTTCTCTCTCTATCTCTCTCTCTCTGCTAAATTACACCATTTTTTGGTCGCAACAAACCAGAAAAAGTCTTTCGAAAACAAGGAAACGCAAATACACGATGATAAAGAAAAGATTTCGTCACAGACCCAAATGCGAGTCAATGATAAAAAACCGGTGTTTCATAAACGAAATTCACATTTTCAAGTATTTCCCTTTTCCAGAATTAAACGGAAACAACAACGTCAACAGGAACTTGTGCGCCGAGTGAACGCAAAGGCAGTTGGCAATGCGTGTCTCGTGCTTTCTGTGGGCATCAAAAATATATCATTCTGTTTCCATAGTTCCTTTTACACTTTCTACAAATTTAACGACTTTTCTTTTCTTTTATATAATTATCATTATTATTATTATTATTATTATTATTATTATTATTATTATTACTATTATTATTATCATCATCATCATTATCACTGTTATCATATTTGTTACTGTTGTTATTTTAACAATTATTATCAGCAATATCATTGTTACTGATACGGTTTTCATTATCATTATTATCATTACTGTTAGTAATTAGTATCATTATCATTATTATTATTGTTACTGTTACTAATATTGTTATCATTAACATTATGATTTTATCATTGTTACTATTATCAATATCATTATTATTGTTATATTCATCATTATTATTATTATCATTATCATTATTATCATCAGTATTAGCTGTATCATCATGTGTCATTACTACTACCATCATTATTATTCTTATCATCATTATCATCATTACCGACATCGTCATTATTATCATTATTACTATTATCAATATTATAATCATTATCAGCATCATTATGATTATTACTAGTATTGCTATTATCATTACAATCATTATTACCACTACAATTATCATGATTATTATTGTCATTGTTATTATCATTATTATTACTATTATCATCACTACAATCATTGTTATCATTATCATTCTTATTTATATTATTATTACTATCACTATTTCAATTATCATTATTATAATTGTTGTTACTTTCGCTATTATTCTTATCATTATCATCATTATTTCTTATCATTATCAATACCATTTTAATTAGCATCATTTTAATATATGTAATTATTATAATCATTGTGATCATCATAACTTTTGTTATTATTATTGTTATTGTTATTATTTCTATCATTATTATCATAATTATTATCATAATCATCATCATTATCATCATTATTATGTTAAAATAATTGTTATCATTATTATGATTTTTATTACTATTATCAATATTTTTACTATTGTTATAATCATTATTATTAGCAGTAGTATTTTTATCATTATCATTATTATCATCATTATCATTATGCTTATAATTAATGTTATTATCATTATTATCATTATGATAATAATTATCATTGTTATTATCATTATTATCATCATTACTATTATCATCATCATTATCATTATCAGTATTATGAAAATTGTTATTACTATCATCATCGTCATTATTGTTATCATTATTCTTCTGGTCTTCGTCACCACTATCATAATTTTGTCATGATATTATTAAATTGATTTTTATTATCATCATTAAATTGATCATTATTAAATTGATCATTATTATCATCATTAATGATACTGTTATACTGTTTGGTATTATTATTATCACTATTATTATTATCCTTATCATCATTATTATCATCATCATTATCATTGCTATCCTTGTCATTATTATGACTATTATAATTATTTTTAAAATTTTAATTATCATTATTGTTTAATCATCATTACTATTATAATTTTGTTTCTATTATTATCAAAGTGACTTGATAAAAAAATGAACATAAAAAATGCCAACGGCGCCTACGCGTGACATTGTCAAGCTTGGCATCGTGACTCGAACTCACGGCCGTTGGCTTCCGGGTCTGAGGCGGTTCCTCTGCGCCACGGTGGCTTAGAAATCTTTGGGGAAAAAGGAGGATTTTAGTGTCGGATTTCCTTTCTTTATGGTTCGGATGCTGGATTATCCTCTCTTGTGGCGAATTGGAGGAATTTGTTTGTTAATGTCTAATGCATCAGGAAGGAGCGTTTGCGTTGTTTTATTTAATCTGTAGAGCGATTAATTAAAGAGGTCGGCGTGAGAACTCCCTGTCGATGTTGCTGGCGACTGAAATTCTTGTATAATGGGTCGTTCCTGTGATATTAATTAAAAGTCTGTGATCTCCATTCTTCTCTCCCTCCCTCCCCCCTCTCCCTCACCCTCTCTCCTCCCTCCTCTTTTCTCTCTCTCCCCCTCTCTATTAAATGGAACAATAAGTTGGTCGGAACAAAAAACAACCCCCCCCCCCAAAAAAAAAAAAAAAACTGTTTCGAAAAACAAGATGCAAAAAAGGGTCAGTGATCATAATACGTTCGACGAATTTCTTAAACGAAAATGTTATTTATTTCTATTTCTTTTTTTTCTTTTTTTCAATTTCAAGCGGAAATAATGTCAATAATGATTATTATAATAAAAGTAATAATGGTTATAATGGTGCTGATAATGATGATATTGATATTGTTAATGGGAATTATGATTATGATGATGGTAATAATGGTAATAATGATAATGAAAATATTAACGATAATGATAATAATAACAATGATAATAAGGATAATTATAATTATAGTGATTTTAATGATGATGATGATAATAATGATAATGATAATAATATCTGTGATAATGATAAAAATAATGATGAAGATTATGATGATGGTGATAACAACAATCGTAAGTATAGGAGTACTGATTATAATGTTGATAACCGATGATACTGACAGTGAAGAAGAGAGAAAAGGGAATGAAAAACAAGGATAATGATAACGATAATCATGACAATGATGAATAAGCCATGATGATAAAAGACGTTAATCCTGGGAGCTGTTCCGACCCAGCACGCGCGTCGACTCCGCATGCCTTGGCCTTGATCAGCTTACCAGGACATACAACTTCTTTTCTCTCAGTATGACTCTTCCTCGGGACCTGAGATTTCTGTGGATGAGTTGCTGGCTCGGCGTCTTTCTGTGCGTCGGGATAAGCTCCGTTTGCGGAGGTTCAGCGAGACACGTGTACGTAAGGTGTAAGTCTTTGGGGATATTTTTCTTTCGCTTTTTTTTTTTTTTTTTTTTTTTTTTGAGAGGGGGTGGGAGGGTAGGAGGATGACAATATGAGAACGTGATATTCTATTTTTCATTTTTTACGGTGTGTTTCGTTTCGGTTTTGAAGTTATGTAACATTTGTTTGTTTGTTTGTTTGTTTTTGTAGGGTAATATAACAATATGAGAACATGATATAGTTTTATTTCTTTTGCGGTGCGGTTCGTTTCAATTTTGCTGTAATGCTTCATTTTTCATTTCTTGTTTTTTTTTCTTATTTTTTCTATTACAAATATAAAAGAAATAACGCTACGTGACCAATGTACATCTACAACCGTTTATTCAGGCTGATCCATCTTGCACAAGCCTTGTTGTTCATCTCACATTATCCTCGCCTAATCCCCCTCCCCCCCCCCTTCTCCTAGGTATAAAAGATGAAGACGATGGAAGACGAGATCACTGTCAGCTGCGACGTGAAGGAGAGGTGAGTGGAGGAGCCGCGGACTGACCTCTTGTTATCCAGATGTTTTCTGAATTTAAGGGAGAGAGAAACTGAATGCAGAAGCTTGTTTTTAAAGGAAAAATGGGAAGTTGATGTAATCATATGTAATTTTGTGTTTTAATACTTGTAGGATAAAATGCAGTCCGTGGCAGTGTGTGTGTTGGTCCTCGCGGCTGGAGTGTCGGCTGTCCCGCCGGCAGGAGGCTTCGCGGCCTCGCCTTGGGCTGACAGTGAGTCCGTTTTCTTGTGAGGAGGCCAGGCAGTTCGCCTTCAAACAAAACCGTAGATTAGTTAACATATTGTGATTGAAAAACAATTCGACACAAAATAAGTTCATCTGAAGCATGACGTCTAACGCATTGTTTCATCTTCAAAATTTGCTTCGCTACACCTGTCTATCACTATTTTAAATTCTTTCATCCTACCCTTCAAGTTTTTCTTCTGTCTTCTGCTTTCCCTCCTCTTTCACCATAGCCATTCCTCCCCAGCCTCGATGTGCTCCCCTACGGACCCCCCGGCGGTGTGCCAGCTGAAGAAGGGCCAGTGCTCCCCCCTGGCCACGGTCTTCTCCCCCCCGGGCGGCCCCGTCAAGGCCGTCACCTCCTGCGCCACTGCCACCGGCGTCGTCCTCGGCCCGCAGTTCTACATGAGCATTGGTGAGGCGGAAGGCATTTTATTACGGAATATCTGTCTGTTAAAGAAAATCATTAAAGATAAACATGATAATTTATAAAGAGTGAGAGTCCAAATTCTTTTCTTTCGTTGCTTCAGGCAAGGCATTCTCCTCGGGCAACCTCGAGAGCATGGTCGACATGGTTTCTTCTGACTCCACCGAAGCCACTGTCATGCGGTTCTGCTTCGTGAATGCCACGGGTCTGGTAAGTAATCTCATCTGGTCCGTTATGGGGAGCGTTCTTTGCTGACTGGCACTTGGCTGAACAAGCGAGCTGCAGTGAATCGTTCTTCTAAACTGATAGCATTTGAATGATCTTACTTAACGATTGATCTTCTCAGCTGAACAGCGACTTGGTGACGCTGAACCGCACCGCCGTCGTCGCCTCCGTCGCCGCCGCCTTCACCACGCCCGCCCTTGCCGAAGCCGTCGTCTCCGCCGTCGCCACGTGCCCCGAGCCCGTCAACTACCAGCTCGCTGACTTCATCTCCTGCTTGAGATCTGCTTGCATGGCGAGCGTGACCGTGCCTGCCACTGCGGGCGGGTCGCCGTTCATGGGGTCTTCTCCATTCCCGATGATGTCACCTTACATGGGGTCACCTTACATGGGGTCACCTTACATGGGGTCCCCATCGGGAATGAAGTCCTCTCCATACATGGGGTCCCCGTTTGCCATGAAGAGTCCAGCCGCCGTGGGAGCCAAACCTCCCAAGAAGGCTTCCCCCAAAATGGCCTCCTTCCCCACACAGGCTTAAACGCCTCAGAAGACCATTCAGGAAAAGGACTGCAGCCTCTTAGCAAGAAATGATATGTGGATTTCCCGTTTGATTATTATGTTGTTTTTATATATAATGTGAATGTGATCTTTCTTTCCTTATTCCAATAAAACATGTCATTTAACATTTCGACTTCTTTTCCTAATTAGAGAGAAGCAACCGGCACTGTATAGTATACTTCCTGAGAACAGTTCCATAAGAATTAATTAACCAAGATATAAATGATAGAAACTAGCTCCCTTACACTAACCACAAAGAATAATAATAAAAAAAAGATTATGTCACTTTTACAGTTTATGATCAAACGAAAATCTGAATGAAAATATAAAAGAAAAGACTCTAAATATATTCAGAAGCGTGGAAAACATATCTGTAGATTTTTTGACTTCTGAAATATATATTCATCGACCTTTTCACAGGTACGATCAGTAACTACTTCCCCACAACATTTTACGGTTTTAAAAGTGTTTAATTATAAATGAAATCTAAATGAATGATGCATTATTATCATCATTATTATTATTATTTATTATTATTATTATTATTATTATCATTATTATATATGATGATGATGATCATTATGATCATTATTATCATTATGGCTATTATCTTTATTATTATCATTATTGTTATTGTTATTATTACTATCATTATCATCAGTGTCATTATTGTTATTATCATTATCAATAATATTATTATTATTGACATTATCATTAACAATGTTGTTATCATTTTTACTATTGTTATTATCAATATTATGATGATGATTATTATTCAATTTATTATCATTATCCTTTTAATCATTATCATTATCAATGCCATCATTATCATCGCCATCACTGTCGTTATCATTGCAGCTGTCATGATACATAAAGCGTGTCATTGTCAAGCTTGGCATCGTGACACGGCCGTTGCCATCCGAGTCGGAGGCTGTTCCTCTGAGCTACGGTGGCTTGCAGGTATCATGAAAAAAACAGAATATTTCATTATTTTAGTTTCTGTATGGTGTGGATGAAGAATAAAAAGATATTCTGATTATTTGCAGAATACTAGAAAACATGCCATTATAACAGAATTCTTTGATTTCTGAAATATGGATTCAATGACATTTTCACAGAAAAGATCTCTGGCTCCTTCCCCTTTTGAAAGTTCTTTTTATTATGAATGACCTATACATGATTTGTCATTATCATTATTATTATCACCCTCATAATTATTACTATTACTATCGTTGTCATCATCAAAGAAATCAAATCTATCTATCTATCTATCAATCTATCTATCAATCAATCTATCTATCCATCTATCTATCTATCTATTTACCTATCTGTCTATCTATTTATCTGTCTATCTATTTATCTGTCAAACTATCTGTCAATCTACCTATCTATCATAACCATATCTGTTGTATAATTCTTGATAATAAAATTGCCGGATAGACAGATTATCATATCGTTCTATATCTATCATTCTATGCATCTATCTGTCTGTCTGTTTGTCTATCTGTCTGTCTATCTATCTGTCTGTCTATCTGTCAGTCTATCTCTCTATCTCTATATATATATATCTTTATCTCTCTATGTATGTATGTATCTATCTATCTATCTATCTATCTATCTACTATCTTATTATCTATCTATCTATCTATCTATCTATATATATATATATATATATATATATATTTATCTCTCACTAACTCTCTCTGTCTATCTATCTATCTGTCTATTTGTATGTGACCACATATGGCCATAAATATTTTTATATTGGATAACTCTTGATTATATAGCCGATGCTAATCAATGATAATAATATTAAGAATAGCGTCCCGTTCTTAACATGATCATGTGAACAGAAATTAGCATCTAACTAATCCGGTGTTTCAATAAAAAAAAAATGTAAAAAGGAAATGAAATAAACCGTCTTTCACGACAAACGCACGAGGTGCCGGCCGTCTTGTGAGATCATCTCAGGTCTTAGAAATGAATTTGTAAGACTATCCCGTGACAAGTCTCTGTGGCTTGGTTTTTGTCACGCGTGTTGGTTTTCGAATCGCCCCCCCCTTTGACCCCTCCCCTTCCCTCCCCCTCCCGCATAACTCCACCTCCTCGTGCCGTAATGCTTGTCTCCCTTAGCCCTTTACCTCCTCCCCTCCCCCCTTTTCTTCTCTCTATCCCTTCCTCCCCATGACTCCTCCCTCCTCTCCCCCGTAATCACTCCCTCTTCCCCTCCTCTAAACCCCTCCCTCTCCCTCAAATCCATCCCTTCTCCTCCCCTTAACCCCCCCCTCTCTCTCTCTGCCTCCTTAACTCCACCCCTTCCCTCCCCTACCCCTCCCTTCCCTTCCCCTTAACCCCCCTCTCTCTTAAACCCTCCCTCTCCTCCTTCCTCCCTCGCCCCACCTTACCCCTCTCTCTCCCCCTCCTCCCCCTAACCTGCCCTCTCTCCCCCCCTCAACCTCAACCTCCCCCCATCATGACCACCAAATCCCTCAAAGTCGCGGATATATAAGGATGAGGCTTCGTTACCACAGCTTACTTTCGGTTCAGCTTCGGCCAAGGGAAGACGAGGTAAGCTTTGTTCAGATTTTTATTTTTCTCATTTATCTGTATGTTTATCTATGTTTATATCTTTTTCATGCATTCATTTTATCTATCTATTAATTCATTTAATCATCTACTCATTCGTCTATCTATCTATCTATTCATTTATCCATTTGCCTATCTGTTCATTCATTTATCTATCTATCTGTACATTCATTCATTTTTTTATCTACTAATTCGTTTATCAATTGCATTTATTCATTTATCTATCATCTCTTCATTATAATTATTTATCTATTCATTTATTTATTGATTCGTTGAACTATTCATTCATTCATCTATTATCAACCTATTTATTCGTTTATCATTTAGTTATTTAATTATTCACTTATTTATTTATCTGTTTATCCCTTTTTGTAAATGTAAGCCTAATATTTGTCACTGCATTAATATCGCAATTGATTAAGAGGTTCCTTCTTCGTTATCTATTTCATTTTAAAATAATAATAATGATGATAATAATACTAATTATTATTATTATAATTATTATTATTATTATCATCACTATTGTTGTTATTCTTATTCCTAGTCTTATTGTCGTTATTGCTGGTATTCTATTCTTGTTGTTGTTATTTTTATTATTTTCATCACCATCATTACTATTGTTATAATTATTATCATTATTATTTTTTACCATTATTATTGTTATCATTATCAGTATCATCATCATCATCATCATTGTCATTCTACTTCTGCTTCTTATTATCATCATTATCTTTATCAATATCATTACTATTACTACCATCATCATTATAATTACCATTATTTTTATCACCATCATTGTCCTTATCATTATCATTATTATTACCAGTATCATTACTATTACTACGATTATCATTATTACTATCATTGTCCATATCATTATCATCATTATCACTATCATTGTCCATATATATCATCATTATTACTATCATTGTCCATGATGCATTATTACTATCATTGTCCATATCATTATCATCCATATCATTGTTATCATCATCATTATTACTATCATTGTCCATATCATTATCATCATTATCACTATCATTGTCCATAACATAATTATCATTTCATTATCATTGTCCATAACATAATTATCATTTCCTTATCATTTCCTTATCGATGGATTCCGACACGCGCGCAGAAGATGCAGAGTGTCGTGCTTGGCGTGCTTGCGCTTGCGGCGGGGGCGGCGGCCGTCGTGCCTGCGGGCGGGTTCGCGGCCTCGCCCTGGGTTGACAGTAAGGCGATCAGTATCTGTCTGTCTGTCTATCAATCTCTATATCTGTCTGTCAGTCTGTCTGTCTGTCTCTCTCTCTCTCTGTGGATCTGTATGTATCTGTCTGTTTGTCTGTCTCAATGTTGATCTGTAAATGGATCTGTCAGTCTCTCTCTCTATTGATCTGTAAATGTATCTGTCTATTTGTCTGTCTATTAATCTGTAAATATATCTGTCTGTCTGTCTATTAATGTGTAGATATATCTGAATATCTGTCTATTGATCTGTAAATATATCTGTCTGTCTATCTGTTTATCTGTTTATCAAAGTGTAGACATATCTTTCTATCTATCTATTAAAGTGTAAATATATCTGTCTATCTGTCCATCAATCTGCAAATGTATATGTATGCCTATCAGTCTATCTAATAATCTGTAAATATGTCTGTCTGTCTACTCATGAAAAGTATTTCGATAAGTCACATCTCCCTTTAAGCCTCCGAATTCATAAACTGAAAATGAAAAAAGAAAATATATAAAATAAAACAAAATAAACACATCCCCACTTTACCCCCCTCCTTTTACCTCCACTTTACCCCCCCCCCCCCAGCCTCGATGTGCTCCCCACCGACTCCCTGATGGTGTGCCAGCTGAAGAAGGGCCAGTGCTCCCCCGTGGGCGCCGTGTTCTCCCCCCCGGGCGGCCCCGTCAAGGCCGTCACCTCCTGCGCCAACACCACCGGCGTCGCCCTCGGCCCGCAGTTCTTCATGAGCATCGGTTAGTCTTGGTTGCTTGGTCATGTACGTACATACATGGACATATACATACATACACACACGCAAATACTCATACACACACAAACATGAATACACAAACACACACAGGCAAACGTGCCATATACAAAAAAAAGAAACACATATAAACAGACGTAAACACACGCACACACACAGAGGCAAACATACACACACACACAAAAAGAAACACAAATAAACAGCCGTAAACACACACTAGAAAACATATCTACACAAACACATAGCGTATGTGACCGCTCTCCCTCGAAATCGTGGAACTGACGTAGCTTTAACATCCTTCGACCTTGAGAATCCCTGTCTTGCGTCCACCGCCAACGCCCCCTACAAAGAATAATTATTTTCCGTAAATTTCATTATTCCTTTCAAAAAAAATGATCTGATGACTTTGAAAAACTGCTCTCTGGTCATGCTTTGGAGAGAGAATAATTTTACTAGTATATATAATTATGATTACCCACAAGAAATAAGAAAATGATTTGATGACTTTTTAAAAGATGTTCCCTTGTCATGCTTTTTATAGAGAATACTTTTACTTGTAATACGAATGAAAAGTGTCATGATTACCCACAAGAATTAAGATGATCTGACGACTTTGAAAATCTGTCGTTCTCTTCTTTAAATGCATGTAGAGATAAATAATGGATAATGAAAAATAGCCTCATTAGTTTTCATCTTTGCCCGGACGCAAAACAGGAACTTTCATTCCTGTGGCATTACGTATTTCCTGCCCTAAGCCAACCTGTCGCCCTCCGCCTTCAGGTCTGGCCTTCGTGAGTGGCAACCCCGAGAGCCTCGCCGACAAGACCTCCTCCGACCCCGCCGCCGTCACCGCCATCCGCCGCTGCGCCCTCAACGCCACGGGCCTGGTGAGGTTATGAGGCGCTCTGGGTTTCGGTTCGATGAGGGTTCATGTGGGGTGGAGTTTGGGCTGGTTTCTCTCCTCATCTGGTTCTCTTTTCTGTGGTCGCTCTCCGTTTTTCGGTCTCTTTTTTGTGTCTTTTTATTTCTCCTTCGTTTTTCCATTCTCTTGATTTCTGTCTTTGTCTGTCTGTCTCTCTGTCTATTTTGTCTGTCTCTTTCCCATTCTCTCTCTCTCTCTTTCTCTCTGTCTTCGGTCTCTCTCTTTCTCTCTGTCTTCGCTCTCTCTCTCTCTTTCTCTTTCACTCACTCTCTCTCTCTCTCTCTCTCTCTAGCTCGCCGTGTCTTTTAGGAGATTTACATATTCTTCTGATGATCAATGTGATTTTGCATTCATCTTCAGCTGAACGCCGACATGATGACCCTGAACCGCACCGCCATCGCCGCCTCCGTCGCCTCCGCCTTCAGCACCCCCGCCCTGGGCGCCGCCGTCTCCTTCGCCGTCGCCGCGTGCCCTGAACCCGTCGACTACAAGGTCACCGACTTCGTCACCTGCCTGAAGACGGCCTGCATGAACAGCGTGTCTGTGTCCCCGTTCATGCAGATGGCCAAGACGTCCTTCCAGAGCATGATGGCTGCTCCTCCTGCCGGCGCACCAGCTGCGGCCTAGGGTTCCTGGCGTGGGAAGGCGTGGATGAGAAGGGAATCATTCCACAATGATTTCGTTAAGTTTAATTATTCATCTTGTGGAAAGTTTTCATTCCCATTCATACCATTTCTATTCTTGATATCTGATAACGCTAGATTATGATGTTCGGATGTTGTTTTGGATGTTGACGCAGAGAGAGAAAAAGCAAAAATGTCTTTTCTTCTTCTGCACTGATTGTTATGCCATTTTGCGGTTGATTTTGAACGTTCATTGTTGGACAAAAAATCGCAAGTTGTAATGGAATTGTAGAGAATGTAGAAAATTATAACAGTGGAACGACTCTTTTTATCTTATTCGGCCTCTATATCTAGCAACAATTAATTTTCACTGGGAAAAGAATTACGAAGTAAACTATAATGCTATTTTCTATTATTAAAGGGTGTAAAATAAACTTACATATGTACAATCAAGACCCACACACACACACACCTGCATTGGATATATAACTACATATAGATAGATATTGTCCGCATACTTACCAAATAACAACTACAAAATACAATATGGTCCACAGTGTAAAAGTAATGAATTCATAGACCTTTATTGACTTTACTGAAGCACATTTATTTAAACAGACAAAACTACGGTCAAAATAACTTACAAACAGTATCATATGATTAGGATAATCATGATGATAGCGGTGATGGGGATAGGGAAGATGATATTAATCATTACAATACCACTAACAATAGAATTTTTAAATACTAATATCAAAATGAGAACAATAATAACTCAATTATGATTTTAATAATACAAGTAATAATGATTACGGCACAGCAGATTAATGGTGACAATAAAAAATTATGATAATAACTATGATAAAATAATAATGATAAATGATAACTATTATAACAGTGAAAAGGATAAAAATTTAACAGTGAAATAATAATTACACAGTAATAATAGCAATATAAAAGATAATTGTAATAATGATGATAATGATGATAACAGTGATAACAATAATTATGATGATAATGATAATACTGATAACAATAATGATGATGATAAAAGCAGCAATAAAGATGATAACAGTAATAATAATAATGACGATAATAATAACAATGATAATAATAATAATAATAATAATGATAATAATAATAATAATATTCATAATTATAACAATAATGATAATAGTAATGATAATGGTAATAATGGTAATAGTGATAAAAATAATAATAATATTGATAATAATAATAGTAATAATAATAACAATAACAATGATGATATTGATATTTGATCATAATAATGGTAATAATAAAATGATAATAATAATAATAATAATAATAATGATAATAATAACACAGTAGTAGTAATAATAATAATAATGATAATAATAATAATAATGTATGTCAATAATAATAATGACAATAATAACATCAATCATACTATTGATAACAATTATGAATGTGATAATTAAAATGATGATAATAATAACAATGATGATAATAGTAACAAAAATAATAATGATATTAATAATGATAATAATAATAATAATAATAATAATAATAATAATAATAATGATGATGAAAATAATAAAAAATATAATAATAATGAAAAAAACAATATCAATAGTGATAAATAATGACTATAATGATAATAATAATAATAATGATAACAATAATGATAATCATGATGATAATGACGATAATGATATAATGATAATAACAATGATAAGAATAGTAATTATTATAATGATAATCGGAATGAAAATAATCATAATAATGATAATAATAGCAATAACAGTAGATAATCTGAGGATAAAAATTACATTAATGATAACTAATAATAGCAATATTGATGAAAATAATAACAATGATGATAACAATGATATAATATTAATAGCAATAATAATAATAACTATAATTATTGATGACGATAGTGGTAACAATAATGATAATGATGATGATAAGTTATTATGACGGTTATAGCAATAATGATAAAGATAATCGTGATAATGATGAAAATAACAAAGATGATATGTACCATGATAGTGATAATAATAGCAATAGTATTAATAACAACAATGATAACTGTAGTAATAACAATGATAATGTTAATAGTAATGATATTCATGTTATAATAATGATAATGATAAAGATGATAATAATAATAATGCCATAAAGGATTTTAATGCTATTGATGATGAATAGGAGGATAATCGTTCTTTTGATTATCGTTATAAATCTATTTGTATACTTATTTGAGTGTTGCAAATTACTGCTATCATTTATATAAAAGGACCACTGGATATCAGTTTATAATCTGTACCAAAGTTCAAAATGAAAAAACGAACACATGAAATAATAAACAGAACTCGTGAGTTTCATGTCTATAACGTGCGGACATACATACACACTGGAAATGTTTTAACCGTTAATAATGATTTTGTTTTGCTTTGTTGAACAGCCATTCATTCCGCAGCAGAGACCAGCCTCTCTCAGTTCATTATTGGCTGACTGGATGTTCTTTCCTAGCCAACCGCGGTGCAGCCGGGTACCATCTGTGCCACGGCGGTGCCTCCCCGACGCGCCTGCGCCTCGCCTCATGAGGGGAGGCGTCGCTTCCTCGCCGAGAGAGCGACTCGAACCGACAGTCAGAGCGCAGGCGTCTTGCAGAGCCGCGGCGGGGAAGAGTGCAGTGCTTGGACCACTGGATCATATATATAATATATATATATAATATATATATAATATATATATATATATATATATATATTAAATATGTGTTGTGTGTGTGTGTGTGTGTGTGTGTGTGTGTGTGTGTTGTGTTGTGTGTTGTGTGTTTGTGTGTGTGTTTATGTCTATGTATATACATATACACATTAAGTTAGTCTCTCGGATGGATGGGTAATGATGACAACAATTTCCCTGCAACCGATTTAAGCTGAACGCGATCTGTATCAAAAGTTGAGTTCCAGCGCCGTGGCGCGCGGACCACGTGGGTCCGTGGGAAGACCTCCGAGACCGCTCCCCATCAAAAGCGTTTGTTGAGGACTTATCCTGTATGTTCGCGATGGGGTTTGCAACAGAGGATAAAGAAAATGTACTGCATTGAGTCAAGTAACTGGATATACACCGGTGAAAAAAATGTAGTGAAGTAGACACAGTGAAATAATAATAAAAAATGTTCTTAGAATAAATTAGGATCGGGTTAAAATTTGGTATAAATTACTGCCAAATCCTATGCTCACGTAGACACCACATTTACTTCTTCACCTTTAGTCTTAGATCCTTTCAGAATCTGATGAAAGGTATGGACCCCCTTCCCTAGAAATATTAGCATAAAGACAACTTTGCATGCAATATACTTTGAATAGTAGTCTAATGTCTATTTGTTTGTTTATTGAAGTTTGCTTGTCTCATGCATATTTGAGATACGAAGAGGTGATTGAAGTTTGATTGTCTCATACATATTTGAGATACGAGGTTATTTAACTTTTAAGTAAACAATATAGAAAAACACAATTTTTTATGCAAAAAGTATAGCGGATATAAATGTTAACTTGATCTGATCCTCACGGACCCCCTGCGACTGACCCATGGACCCCTCGTGGAGAATCCCTGCGCTAACGTAACACTTGCAAGTTGACAGAAAACAGCTGAACTATAATTTTGTGACACGGCCGGTTCGTTAAAGTTTGTGAGGGCCGAACCAATGAAAAAAAAAAAAAATAATAATAATGAATAAAAAATAAATAAAAGGTAAAAAATTCCTATATACGGACATACATACGTACCGAAATAATTACTTTAAATCAATCTAGACATACATAATTACCGAAAAGATAGATAAATGTATATCCATCAGATAGATAGACAGATATGCATTTATTTTTGTGGATTTGCATATCCTTATATATGAAAAATTATTAGGTCGGCCGCACAATTTTAACAATCTGGCCGATAGTCTCTAATTACTAGTTAATTAGATTAATTAATCAATTACAGGGCTGATTAATTTATTACCAATTAATTAATTAGCCCTCGAACACCTCATAACCATTATTAACCTCTAACAGCTCTTTACATCCCAGTATTTTTAGAATTGAAATGGCACGTGGCTTTTGACGTTCAACCGACCAGCGCGTTTTCAGTGTATAACCGCCCTTCCTTGTCAGAGGGTAGATCGTGCTAAGACAGTGTTACAGTATTCAAAGAGTATACTAAGGAATCATTATTCATTCCCTGTTGTTTCTCTTTGCTTAAGTTTTGTGATAATACGGATGACGGACGTAATATCAACTTTGGCTTAGAAATGCATTTATTTTATTATTTTTTTAAATAGAAGAAACTTTAATCATGATAGGAGTGCCATGCCATAGAAGACATGATAAATTGTAGTATATGTAATGCAAATATTTAGACAAATAAATAGCCACTCTTTCTCTCTGTCTCTTCTCTCTCTCTCCCATATACACGTACATGTACACACACACACGTAAGCTTTAAAGAACAGTATAAACGAGTGTCCAAGACGAGCGGATGACGACACCTGTTCCTCTGCTGATAATGGTCGCCATTGTAGTATTATTATCATATCATATTTTATTATTTCTTTTTTCTTTTAGCCAGCACTATCATTACTGGATATTGATGTCAAAAAGGAAGCGAATTCAAAACAAAAAAAACGAGAAACTTCAGATTCGTCTTTGTTCTGCCTTCAGCAACTGCAACGTCAACGTTGAACCTAAGACAATGACTAGCTAGAACTCATTTCCCGCTCTCGCGACGGGCCGTCTTGGGGCTGCGTGGTCTGCGTGCCTGCCAGCGGCGCATGACGCCCTCGGTGCCTTCGTTGCCTGGTGGGAGGGCATGCCATGTTCCGGACCGCCCGAGCGTGAGGGCGCATGACGCTCTGGGCCACATGGCAGAGTCGCGACCACATGGCGCACTGGGGACGCCGCGGCCTCTATGCGGCGCCGGTGAGGGCCGGGGACATGCCGGGGTACTCGAAGGCCGCGGGCAGCGCCATGAAGGACGAGGCGTAGGCGGAGGTAGGGAAGACGCCCCCGAAGGGCGAGATCGGCGCGGCCCCGACGCCCGGGTACGCGAAGCCGCCGGCGCTGTAGGCCGTCGAGCCGGCGGGCGCGGCGGCGGCGCCAGGAGCAGCAGCGGGCGCAGCCTTGGGAGGGCGGGGCGACCTTCGGGCGCAGGGATGGGCGCATCTTGGCGAGCGGGGCGGCGGGGCGCCGATCGGGCGGGATGGGCGGCGAGGTGAGCGCCGCGGACGCCATCTGATTAGGGGCTGCCGGACACGCTGCTCATGCAGGCGGCTCGCAGGCAATGAAGTCGGACATCTTAAGGTCGACGGGCTCGGGGCACGTGGCGCGGGGCGCGTGGCGACGGCGGCCCAGGGCGGGCGGGCTGAAGGCTTGACCACGAGCGGCGACGACGGTCGGTTCACGGTCACCATGTCCGCGTTGAGCTGAGGACAAGGCACGGCGACATTTTACGTTATAATTAATCACCGTTTGTCCCCATCATACTTTGTCACGGTCATTTGCCATTTGTCAAACATTCTAAACATGATACCTGTATATCACACCAAGACACATCTCCCAACACAATGAAACAACCAAAAAAAACAACTCACCAGGCCCGTGGAGTGAGGGCGCAGCCGGATGGCCGTGGCCGTCGCCGTGTCGGCCGTCGTCTTGCTGGCAGAGACTCCGGACTGCCCGTATGAAAGGCCAGGCCTGCGGGTGAAACGATGAAATTACTCTTTGGGTTATGACACAGGGTGATACAATTACAAATTGTGATGTGATGTGTGTGTGTGTGTGTGTGTGTGTGTTTGCGTGTGTGTTTTTGCTGTAATGCCTGCAAGAATGCTCAAAGGAATTTACACGAGCATGTCGAGTTTCATCCGTCAAGTTTCCGAGTCCAGTACCTTGAGACATCGTCTCAGTGAAAAAAAAAACTAGAGAAATTGATAATGATAAATCAAAATGGCCTTCAACCCAGAAGAGTTTCCTTGCAGCATTAACAAAGCATATACAATCTAAGGCCAGACAACGTCAACAAAGGAATATCAAATAACAAGGAAAAAAGGAAGCTATTATATTTTACACATTTCCAAAGCTCTCAATTTAGCCTTTTCATAGGAAGACAGTCAAGGCTGTATGGCTGCCATTCTATTTTTTAAGGAAGACAGTCAAGGCCATTTTTTTTTTTTTTTTATAAGATTTTGTTTTTTATACCTTTATGAAGGCCTCTCCCGTGCTTAAGGCACTGATCTCTTGACAGCACTGCGTGAAAGTACTGCATTTAGAGAAATCGACCAAAAGAGTGAAATAAGTAATATAATGGGGGGATTAAAAGGGGCTAAAAAAGTGACACACAAGCAGACAGAGAGACGAGATAGAAAGACGGATGCACAGAGGCAGAAAGAGGGGGAGATAGACCTGAAGACAAAGGTAAGCAAATAGAGTGAGAAAGAATGAGACAGGAAATATAGTCAGACAGGAAGTACAGTCAGACAGACAGAGACTGACAGACAAAGTTAGATGCAAACAGAGAAACAGACGGACAGACAAGAGACAGATATTCACAGTCAAAACTAAACAAACAAGTATAGAGACACAGAGGGATAAATAGAAGGACAGTGGCAGACAGAGACAAAGACAAAAAAAGTAACCCCTTAAACGGAAAAATAAAAGAAAAGGGAAAAAAAGTTAATAACCCCCATAAAGAAAAAGAAATGAAAAATATAAGTTACCCTTCCCCATAGGAAAATAAACATTAAAAGGTAAGTGACCCCCCTCCCAAAAAAAGGAAAAAAAAGAAAAAAGGTAACTAACCCATCTCCCATCAAAGAAAAAGAAAAAAATAAATAAAAAAACCCTCCCGCAAATAAGAAAAAGAAAAGAAAATAACTACCCCCCAAAAGAAAAGATCAATAAATAATGAAAAAAAGAAATAGATAAATAAAAACAAATAAACACAAAACCTTAAAAAAAAACGGATAACCAAAGCCAACGAACCAGCGCTCATGAAGAACTGCGGTCCGAGGACGAGGCCGGTGGCGTTGGCGCAGTCGGTGATGGTCTTGATGGGGCCGCCCGGGGGGGAGAAGACCGTGTTCAGGGGCGAGCACTGGCCCTTCTTCAGCTGGCACATCATCAGGGAGTCGGTCGGGGCGCACATGGACGCTGGGAAAGGGACGAGGGAGGGACTGAATGCAGGTTATTTGGTGTGATTGGAAAGGGTTGAAGGGAGGGGTTGAATGCAGGTTATTTAGTGAGGTGGGAATGAGTAAAGGGAGGGGTTGAGTGCAAGTTATTTGGTGTGGGGGGAAAGGGGTAAGGGAGAGGTTAGATGTAGGATATTTAGTGTGGCGGGAAAGGGTTAAGGGAGAGGTTGAATGTAGGTTATTTTTTTTAGTGGGAAAGGGTTACGGGAGAAGTTAGTGGACGTTTTATATATGGCGTATTTTTTCTATTTTTTTGTCATTATTATTACATAACAAAATAAACAATAATCAAAACAACAATGATAATAATATTAAAAACAACAAAAAAACACGAGATGCTGTTAAAAGATGGAAAAATTATACTTACTGTCCAGCCAAGGCGAAGTACCGGGCATGGGCACCAGGGCATAGGAGGCGCCCGCTGCCAGTAACGCACATAACAGCACAGAGACCATCTTCCTCTACAGATTAAAAAGAAAAGTTAGATTAGGTTCTGTTTCCTTCATTGCGAATAAGCATTTTTTTTAAATAACTACAGAAAAAATAACTGTGATGAAAAATATTGGCAGTTATGATAATACTAGAATAGTAATGGTAAAAAATAGGCTAATGATACTATTACTATTACTACTACTACTACTACTTATAACACCACTATAAGATATTAACAACAACACTGATAATGGTAATGATGGTCAGTGTGATGATAATGATAATAATAGCAAAAATAAAGATTAAAACAGCAAAGTGACGACAGAAATAATGATAATGATGATAGCAATAATAATAGTAATAATGATAATGGTAAAAACAATAATAATAGAAACGATAATGACAACGATAATAATAGAAATGATAATGATAATAATAACAAAAAATAACAGTAATGGTTATGATGATGATAAATAACAACAATAATGCTAAAAATAGAACAACAGAACACGGCTCTCCATACCCTGCTCTGAAGGAAGTCCCACGGCCGGATGGAGGAAGAATGACCTCTTCTCACCTCGGCCCCGCCTTTTGTACTCCGCTGGGGGTCGAGCGGCGAGGGGGCGGAGGAAGGGGTGAAGGGAGGGGGGGGTCGAGAGGGGAGTAGGGGGACGGGAGGGGGAGAAAGGGAGGGGAAAGAAAGGGGGAAAGGGGTGACAGGGAAGGGGGGTAGAGATCGAGAGGGGAGTAAGGGACGAGGGGAGGAAAGGGTGAGATCGAGAGTAGGAGAAGGGGAGGGCGAGGAAAGGGGGAGAAGGGTAATGGGGAGAGGAAGGGGTAAAGGGGGGGGAGGTCGAGACGGGAGAAAGGGAGGGGAGGAAAGGAGAGAAGGGGTAATGGGAAGAGGAAGGGCAGCAGGGGAGGTGGTAAGATCGAGAGTAGGAGAAGGGAGGGGGAAGAAAGGGGTGAAGGGTAATATTAGGGGAAGAAGGGGTAACAGGGAGAGGAATGGGTAAGAGGATGCGGAGAAAGGGGTGACAGGGGGTTAAGATCGAGAGGAGGAGGAGGAGGAGAAGGGGAGAGAGAGAGGGTTAATAGTGAGGGGAGGAAGGGGGAACAGATCGAGAGGGGATGGGGAGAGAGGAAAAAAGAGAAGAGAGGGGAAAAGGGAATGGGAAGGGGTTTCCAGCAGCATAAGCACGGGAGGAGTGGAGAGGAGGGAGGAAGGGGAAGGAAAGAGGGGAGAGGTGAAGTGTGAAGGGAGGGAGTGGAAGAGAGGAAATTCTACGGAGGGAGTGATGGGGAGGGAAAGGTCAAGGAAGGGAGGAAGAGGTCAAGGGACGTGGGGGGGAGGGGAAGGAAAGGACTACCGAGGGGGAGGAGGGACGGTGGTAAGAGACATTGTCACATGAGCGGTGACAAAGCACAAAGCGGAGGTCATGTGGCACCTCCGAGGCACACACACACACACACCTCAGAGAGCGTGCGTTCGAGCCCCAGCTAATCCCCGTCGACGCAGAGCTCCGATGGGCGTGACCCAGCGGGGAACGGGCGTCTTACAATGTCCTTTGTGCGGGCGGGGGGCGTGCTGAGACTCCGCGTCCTCGCCTCAGCCAGGGGTGATGCGGGGAGGGGGAGGAGGGGAAAAGGGGTGGGGAGGAGGCTGGGAGGAGGGGGAAGGGGGTGGGGATAAGGGGGGGAGGATTAAACAGTGATCGACGGGGGAGCATAGGACGAGGCTCGCGGGCATTAGGTAATAGGAGCATTGTCCTAACTGTGGCTTTGTCTTTTTCATTTAAATTGTTATTCACTGAATTCGCTCTCTCGTGGGCTTAACAAATGCTTATTCATATATTCGCGAATCTCTTTCTCTGTCTCTATGTCTCTCTGTATTTCTACATATATGTCTATATCCTTCTGCGTGTATATTTTTATTAGTACCTAATTCATCTATCTATTATCTGTCACCCTTCTGTCTATCTATCTATCTAGCGATGTCTTCTGATTTCAGAAAATGCCTTGAGTAATGGATTTTGTCATATAAGATTTACTTATGTATGTGGTTGTGTGTATGTGTGTTTGTGTATGTGTATGTGTGCTTCCATGTGTCTTGCCTCTCTGCAGAATATGATACTAATAGAACAAAGTCGAGAAAGAGAGAGAGAGGGGGGGGGGGAGACAGGGAGGGAGGGAGGGAGGGAGAGAGAGAGAAAGAGAGAGAGAGGGGGGAGGGAGGAAGAGAAAGACAGAGAGAGAGAGAGAGAGAGAGAGAGAGAGAGAGAGAGGAGAAGAGAGAGAGAGAGAGAGAGAGAGAGAGAGAGAGAGAGAGAGAGAGAGAGAGAGAGAGAGATAAAAAGAAACAGGACCTGAGAAAAAAAAAGAAAGATAAACAAACACAACAACAAGCAAACAAGGAATCCTAAGCTTATCATTACCCCAATCGGGATTAAGAATTTCCGGCGCCTCATTTCCATAAAAGGACAAAGGAACGACAGAAAATGATTTTATAACTTTAAAAAAATTCTGACAAACCCAAACCCTAACATATTCTTGTGCAAATAATAATAATAATAATAATAATAATAATAATAATAATAATAATCACCATGCCACATATGCTGATTTCTTCCATTTATACGTTAAACGATGTATCTTCTTGCCTTATAAAGCATAATTGCATAATATCATGAAGTCTAATCAATCATATTAGAATTATTAGCATAACAATAGTCAGCCTGATACTGTTCATGATATCGTGGGTCTTGTTAGTGATAATGAGATGAAAATGAAGGTTGTGGTGGTGATGACGATGATGATGATGATGATGCTACTACTTCTGATAATAGTGATAATGAAAATAATGATAATGATGGTAAAAGTAATATTGAGGATAGTAGCAGTAGTAATGATAACAGCAGTAGTAGTAATAACACTGATAATGACAGTAATAATGATAATGCTAATAATGATATTAATAATGATGATGATGATATTAATCATGATGATAGTAATAATGATATTATTAATAATGATGATATTAATTATTATAATAACGATAACATGAAATAATAATGATAATAGTAATAATAATAATAATGTTAATAATGATAATAGTAATAATGATAATAATAATAACAACGTCAATAAAATGATAATAATAATGATAATAACAATAAGAAAATATAATGATAATAGTAATATAAATAACAATGCTTATAATGATAATAGTACTAATAACAATGATCATAATAATAATAATTACAATAACAGTGAGAATGATAGTAATGATAATAATGATGAAGATATACTAATGAAACTAACAACAACAATGACTATGATAATTATTTTGACGATGATATTAATAACAATATCAATAATAATAATAATGATAATTGTAATGATATTAATAATAATGATAATAGTAACGGTAATATAATATATAATAATAATAATAATAATAATATATAATATATAATAATGATAATAATAATGATAATGATATAATAATAATATAAATAATGATAATAATAATGATAAATATAATGATAAATAAATGATATAATGATGACAATAATATAATAATAATAATAATAATAATGATAATAATAATAATAATAATAATAATAATATAGATATTAATAATGATAATGATATTAATGATAACAAAAATGATAATAATAATGATACCTGTAGTGATAATGAAAAGGAGTATAATCATAATGATGATGATGATACAATGAGTGATAATCATAATGAATAATAATGATAATGATATAAAAAATGATAATAATGATAATGATGATATAAAGTAATGATAACAATAAATGATAATAATAATAATATAATAATGATAATAATAATAATAATAATAAATAATATAATAATAATAATAATAATATATAATAATAATAATAATAATAATAATAATAATAATAATGATAATGATAATAATAAAATGATAATAAATAATGATAATGAATAATAATAATAATAATAATGATATAATAATAATAATGACAATAATAATTATAATATAATAATAATTATAATACTAATAATTAATAATGATAATAATGATAGTAAAGTTAAGAATAGCAATTATAATGAATAATGATAATGATAATAATAAGAGAAAATAATATGATGAGATGATGATGATGATGATGATAATAATAATGATAATAATAATAACAATAATAATAATAATAATAATAATAATAATAATAATAATAATAATAATAATAATAATAATAATAATAATAATAATAATAATATATAAATAATAATAATAATAATAATAATAATAATAATAATGATAACAATAAAGATAATAACAATAATATATACAATAATAATAATGACAATAATAATGATAGTAATAGTAATAACAACAATAATAACTATGATGATGATAATAATAATAATTATAATGACAATGATAATGATAGTAATAGTAATAACAACAATAATAAATATGATGATGATAATAATAATAATTATAATGACAATGATAATAAAGTAACAATATTTGATGACAAAATAATAATAAAATAATGAAATTATTATTATGAAATAATTAGGATAATGATAATAATGAAAAATAATAATAATAATAATGATAATGCGAAATGATAATGATGATAATAATAAAGATAATAGTAATAATAATAATGATAATGATAATAATAGTAGTAATAGTAATGACAATTACTATCATTATAATAATAATAATAATAATAATGACAATAATAATAATAATAATAATAATAATAATATAATATATAATATAATAATAATAATGAGAATAATAATGATAACTATAATGGTAATAGTAGTAAAAATGATAATGGTAATTACAACAATACTAATAATAACAATGATAATAATAAAAATGACAAGAACAATAATAGTAATAACGATGATGATGATCATGATGATAATAAATAATAATAATAATAATAAAAATGATAATAAAAACAATAATAATGATAACGTGAATGATAATGATAATAACAATATTAACAGCATAAATGATAATAACAATAGTGACAGTAATAATGATGCGAATAATGATAACAACAAAGATGTGTATGTGCGTGTGTGTATGTGTGTGTGCCTGTGTGTATGTGTGTGTGTGTGTGTGTGTGTGTGTGTGTGTGTGTGTGTGTGTGTGTGTGTGTGTGTGTGTGTGTGTGTGTGTGTGTGTGTGTGTGTGTGTGTGTGTGCGCCAAGGGTTGATGGATATTAGTCATTTTCCTGGCCAAAAAAAACATGGATCGTGACTCCTGCTTTGCTGCACATATAAACTGACGCCCAACAGAATAGCATATCATTAATATAAATGATGTTAAAGATGAGAAGAAAAGTATGATAGCTATAATGATAATAACAATGATGATCATAAATAACAATGATACTATTTATAATTCTGGTGATGTTTATAATAATAGTAATACTTATAACACCAATAATGATAATAATATACTAATAACCATAATAATTATAACAATAATAATTGTAATGATGAAAATAATGATAATGATAACA